CCTTCCCTCTTTCCTTCTTCTCTCCCTCATTCCTTCTTCCTTCCTTCCCTCTTTCCTTCTTCTCTCCCTCATTCCTTCTTCCTTCCTTCCATCTTTCCTTCTTCTCTCCCTCATTCCTTCTTCCTTCCTTCCCTCTTTCCTTCTTCTCTCCCTCATTCCTTCTTCCTTCCTTCCATCTTTCCTTCTTCTCTCCCTCATTCCTTCCTTCTTTCCTTCTTTCCTTCCCTCTTTCCTTCTTCTCTCCCTCATTCCTTCTCCCTTTCTTCCCTCTTTCCTTCTTCTCTCCCTCATTCCTTCTTCCTTCCTTCCCTCTTTCCTTCTTCTCTCCCTCATTCCTACTTCCTTCCTTCCCTCTTCTTCTCTCCCTCATTCCTTCCTTCTTCCCTTCTTCTCTCCCTCATTCCTTCTTCCTTCCTTCCATCTTTCCTTCTTCTCGCCCTCATTCCTTCCTTCTTTCCCTCCTTCCTTCTTCCTTCCTTCCTCCCTCCCTTTTTTTCATTATTCTGTTTCTTTTCCTTCCTTGTCTCCCTTTTTTCTCTTCCTCCTTCCTTTATCCCTCGCTCTCTCCTTCCTTCCTTCCTTCCTCCTTTCTCCTCTCCCTTCTCCCTTCCTTGCCTCCCTTCCTTCTCTTCCTCCTTTCTTCCTCCCTCCCCCCTTTTCTTTCGTTATTCCGTTTCTTTTCCTTCCTTGCCTCCCTTCCTTCTCTTCCTCCTTCCTTCCTCCCTCCTTCCCCCTTTCCTTCCTCCCTCCCTCCTACAGATCATGCTGCCTTCTGACCAGTTCCATTGACTTGCCAATCCGGATTGCCCGTCTCTTGGGAGGGTACGGGGGCATCCTGGCACCCTCTCAGCCAGGGGTGCAGAGGACTCACGTGTCCCCCCCCACGAAGGGGTTGCTCACCCTGATTCTCATCCTTGATGGGGAAACAGAGGATGTTCCTGGTTCGAAACCCAGTGCTGTCATCCACACCGCGGTAGAAGAGCGGGTGAGAATAGGCGTCTTTGATGTTCAGGATCTTGCCAGTGGTGGCCACGTGGCCGGCGATGCCCTGATCGGCCGGAATCCGGATTTCATAGCTCTGTCACCAGGGAAGCAGAATCTGCAGGTTACTCCAAATCTACCTCGGTTTTGCTTTACTTACTCCGTAAAACGACACCAAGAGCGGAACAAATATAAAAGAACAACGAAAGGAAAAAGAGAAGGTGGAGAAAAGCAAGCAACACAATAATGATAATCATAATAATTTAAATCAGTGTTTCTCAACCTTGGCAACTTGAAGATGTCCTGGACTTCAACTCCCAGAATTCCCCAGCCAGCAAATGCTGGCTGGGGAATTCTGGGAGTTGAAGTCCGGACATCTTCAAGTGGCCAAGGTTGAGAAACACTGATTTAAATGATGCATAAACAGAAGGATACTTCTGGTTTGCATTGCGGAATCAGGGTTCCTCAATCTTTGGCGGCTTTCAGACCTGTGGACTTCAACTCCCAGAATTCCCCAGCCAGCCACGCATGATAGAGTTGGAGGAGGCCAGAAGGGTCATCTGAGTCCAAGATTTATCAACACTTTAAGTAGGATGGACTTCAATTCCCAGAATTCCCCAGCCAGCTTCTGACAAGCCAAGTCAAGGGGGGAAGCTGGATTCGCTTAATGGCCACCTGATTCCCTTAACAGCTGCATGGGTTTGCTTAACGACTGCAGCGAAAGGAAAAGGGGGGGGTGTTGTAAAATCAGGCACTAACGGCTCCCTTAACCATCTTCCTTAGCGATGGAATTTCTGACCTCAGTTGTGGTCGTAAGTTGAGGACTTCCTTAATTGAGCCTTCTCTCTTTCGTTTGGAATGGCAGAAGAGTTGGAAGGGACCTTGGAGGCCATCTAGTCCAACTCCCCCTCGTTTCTTTCCAACCCTCCCGTCCTACTACTTCGTTTCTCACCTCGTCATCCACCACGCCTCCGTCAAAGACCTTGGCCACCAACTCATGGCTGCTCCGGTCCAGCAGGAAAACCGAACATCTGAAAGGGAATCCCGTGAGGGAGGAGGGTGAGGAGGGGAACTCAGGCCCCCTCCCCCATTCTGGGGGTCCTTGGCCCAATTCCCCACCCCCCAAGAGCCAGTCCTATCTGCAGAGAAGGGCTAGGAGGCATTGATTTCTCTTCCTTCTCTATTTCATTTCTCCCCTTTTCTCTCTCTCTCTTCCTTCCTTCCTTTCATTCTCCCTCCTTCTCTCCCTCTCTCCATTCTTCCTCCCTTTCTCTCTTCCTACCTCACTTCCATCTTTCCTCTTTCTTTCCCCCCCCTCTCCCTTCCTTCCTTTCATTCTCCCTCCGTCCATTCTATCCTCCTTCCTACTCTTCCTCCCACCCTTTCTTCCTTCTCCCTCTCTCCCTGTCCCTCCCTTTCTCTCTCCCTCCCTCCCATCGTCTATGCATCCATCCATCCCTTTCTTTCTCCCTCCCTCTCTCCATTCCATCCTCCTTCCTTCTCTCCCTCCCTTTCTTTCTTCTCCCTCCCTTTCTCTCTTCCTTGCTCCCTCCCTCCTCCCTTCCATCATCTATGCATTCCATCCATCCATCCCTTTCTTTCTCCCTCCCTCCCTCTCGTCATTCCATCCTCCTTCCTTCTCTCTCTCCCTTCTTCCTCCCTTTCTCCCTTCTTACCTCACTTCCATCATTCCTTTTTCTTTCCCCCCTCTCTCCCTTCCTTTCATTCTTCCTCCGTCCGTTCTATCCTCCTTCCTACTCTTCCTCCCACCCTTTCTTCCTTCTCCCTCTCCCTCTGTCCCTCCCTTTCTCCCTCCCTCCCTCCCATCGTCTATGCATCCATCCATCCCTTTCTTTCTCCCTCCCTCTCTCCATTCCATCCTCCTTCCTTCTCTCCCTCCCTTTCTTTCTTCTCCCTCCCTTTCTCTCTTCCTACCTCACTTCCCTCTTTCCTCTTTCTTTCCCCCCCTTCTCTCCCTTCCTTCCTTTCATTCTCCCTCCGTCCGTTCTATCCTCCTTCCTACTCTTCCTCCCACCCTTTCTTCCTTCTCCCTCTCCCTCCCTATGCCCCCTTTCTCTCTCCCTCCCTCTCTCCCTCCCTTCCATCGTCTATGCATCCATCCATCCCTTTCTTCCTCCCTCCCTCTCTCCATCCCATCCCCTTCCTTCTCTCCCTCCCTTTCTTCCTTCCCCCTCCTCTTCTCCTTGCTCCCTGCCTCCTCCCCTATTCCTCCCTTTCTCCCTCCCTTCCTTCCATCATCCCTCCCTCCCTCCTTCCTCTTTCTCCTTTTCTCTCTCCCTTCTGTCTTTCTTCCTTCTCTCTCTCTCTCCCTCCCTTCCTTCCATCCGTCCTTCTCTCCTTCTCTCTCTTCCTCCTCCCTCCCTCCCCACACTCCTCCCCATTCCACCCCCCACTTTCTACTTTTCATCGGTTTCTCCACCCAGAGTCACAAATTACAAGCAGGAATTTCCATCCAGGAGATTCTTGTAGTAACTGAACTATAAAAGACCCCCCTGCTATCCCCTCCAGGATTTGGAGACACGGTGAGCAATCCAAAGACACCTCCTCCTCCCCCCGCCACCCCGTGGCTCTTTTGGGCTGTTCCTCAAGCATATCCCACCCACCCCCACCCCAGCTGCGACCACCAGGCCCTCCTGCCCAGGAGGAGACCCACATTTCAGCATTGCTGAGATTCCTGGCTTCCGTGATGATCTCCTGTAGCAGCACCGAGACGTCATCTGAAAGAGGAATTCGGCGCTCAGAAAACCTTCCCATGGACCTCAGGCGTGTATTTGGGGAGGGGCTTTTTATTCCCACCCCACTTCCACTGGACAGGAAGGCTGGCCGGCCACCCCCAATTTCAGGGCATAATCATCAGCAGAGGCTCTCGGGGGAGGCTCCGGAAGTGGAGACCAGCCAGGTCAGCGCCTGGTTCTTCCGGCTCTTGGCTAGTGCGCTGGGTGCCTTTGGATACCTACCCAGGTGAGTGAACAGGTTCTTGGCCACTTGCAAAAGAGCCTGCGGGGGAAGAAAGACAGGTGAACGTTCTCCTCTTTTCTAAGGATCAACATCGCGGGGAGGGGGTTTTTTTGTGTGGAAAGGAGACACACTTCTACGCCTCTTCTCCCAATCCCAAGTTGCTCAGAATAACCGAATGTCAGAGTCAGGGGGGGGACCTTCGAGGTCTGCTAGTCCAGCCCCCCTGGCAAGGAGGGCAACGGATTCCTGACTGCACAAGAGATGGAGCCTCGCGCGGCCTCCATCACGGGCTCCGCCTTTAGTTTGGCTGGGATGTTATAGGGTCTCTTGCCCGAGCAGGAGGTTGGACTAGATGACCTCTGAGGTGCCTTCCAGAAGAGAAGGGAAGGGTAGAGAAAAAGGAAGGAAGGAGAAGAGGAAAGAACAGAATAGAATAGAGAAGAGAATGAAGGATAGAAAATAGAATAGAATAGAATAGAGAATAGAATAGAATGAAGAATGGAGAAGAGGAAAGAAGAGGAGAGAAGAGAAGAGAAAAGGATAGAGAAGAGGAAAGAATAGAATGAAGAATGGAGAAGAGGAAAGAAGAGGAGAGAAGAGAAGAG